TCCACCATAGACTTTGCATGTAAACCTGCTGCTCCTGACGCTGAAATCGCGTTTGGTGTGAACGCACCATAACAGAGGTGTGTCTCAGTCTACCTTTGATTTATTTAGTTGTTTATTAAAATTAAAATAAAAACTCATGATGTTTTGCCAGTCTAAGTTGGCTAAGATCAGAAGCTGCTGGAAAACCTCTTTAAAAAATTCAACGTAGAAACAAAAAAATAAACTGTGATCGTGATCTGTATGAGAGAGCAGAGTTTTATTTTCAAACATGTGATGTGATACTTGTCACTCAATAAGTGCTCCAATAAATAAACAAATTGCTGTTTTTGCATTGAGAGTGTTGATGGTGTTTTGTCTCCTTAATGATAATATCTGTCAGTTTTACGCTCATATGAGCTGTAATCACATTTTCGCAGGTAAAATCTTGTATTTTTTACATTTAGATGTAATTATTTGCAGTTTAAATGACTCAGTGAGCGTCTAAAACAGTGAAAACAGATACGCTTCCCGTCAAAAACACTGCGCGCTGCCACAGCACCTGATCACTTTATGGCACGACACCGGCTCGTCAGCTGTTAGTCAGGTGACATGTCCGCTTCATTCTAACTCCGGCAGAAGCGGTGGAGGTGGGAGGAGTTTAAGTAACACATTCCAGCAACGCGCTCCCTCTGCTCCCAATCTTGTGTTCTCAGACGTAGTCTGGTGAGTTTCAGGTGCTGTGAAACAACACTCCGAACATGATGTCACGAGACTAATCTTTTTTCCTCATTAAGCAACCAATTAAATTTCTGTTATGTTTCATGTAGGAGAAATACACTTTTTTCAGTCAGTATTTAATACAGCTGGCAAAATAAAATATTTATGATGTGTTTCTGTTTTTTTAATTCAGGAGATTATTAAAAAAATCCTTCATGTTATGAAAAGATCCTCTTGATTCAAGAGAAAACTCTGGTTTTTAAGAAAATGTCTGCTTATCAATTAATGGTCAATTTATAAGAGAAATCAACTTCAGATTAATTAATTAATCAATAACTTGCATCCCTAATTTATACAGGAATTAAATTAATTTATATCTACTCATATTCATGTAATTTGTTGTTTTTATGATTTGGCCGATTAATCGATTATTCAAAAAATAATAATTGACAGATTAATCGATTATTAAAATAATCGTTAGTTGCAGCCCTACACTCATCTGCAGACCAGGGGTCTCATGTATCAACAGTGCGTACGCACAAAAACCTTGCGTACACAATTTTCCACACAAAATTCAGGATGTATCGAAACTGAAACGAAGGTGGAAATGTGTGCAGCCCCAACTCCAGGGCTGGTGTCACACTAGGGTTGGGCAATATTGGCAAAAAAATTAATCACGATTAATCGTGATATTTAGCAGATAACGATTAATTTGACGATTAATCCCCCAGAGTCCCTGGACACCCTTGTATCCTGGTCACATGACCAATTTATAGGGATAAAATTGGCTCTTCGTAAAAACCTGTTCCAAATTGTGTCAAAATTACAGACTTCAGGCTGTACATCAAACTTTAAATTGTGTTGATAGATAAATAAATTACACAACTTTTTAAATGTTGGTCATATTTGAATCAGAGAGGAACACCAAGCGGTCAGTCTGCCTGGTGGCATTAATCGTATTAATCGTCAACTGCCAAAAATTAATCGATTAATGTTTTTCTGACGATTAATTGCACACGATACGATTATCCCCAACCCTATGTCACACGTTTCTGTGGTTCTGGTCCGGTGGTGCCTGTGTTTGGCAGCCTCGCTTCTGTCAGTGTGCCCCAGGGCAGCTGTGGCTACAGCTGTAATTGCCATCATCATTGTGTGAATGTGTGTGTGCATGGGTGAATGTCTGTAGTGTAAAGTGCTTTGAGTGTCCTGGATGGATAGAAAGGCGCTATATAAGTACAGTCCATTTACCAAATACTATAATATTTCATGTACAGGTCAGGACTCTACAGTTTACAGTTTGTGTTTTCCTTTTCCTTCAGGTTGAATTCAGAAGGTAAGAGAGCTGCCAAAGAAGGGGACATCAAAAAAGCTCTGGATTTGTTCAAACGGGCTTACAAGCTTTATCAGACTCCTAAACTAGAGTGCAGGATTAAAAAAATCGAAGAAGTCCTGACTCAGACCAACTTGGAGGATGAAGATGATGAGTTTGTAAATGTGAACAACAGCGGTTTGTTGCTGTACAGAGAACTGTACGACAAACTGTACGACTACCAGAGAGACGGGGTCTCCTTCCTGTACGGTCTCTACAGAGATGGTCGGAAAGGAGGAGTTCTGGCGGACGACATGGGGCTGGGGAAGACCATCCAGGTCATATCGTTCCTCTCAGGCATGTACGACAACGAGCTGGCCAAAAACACGCTGCTCATTATGCCCACGTCCCTCATCACAAACTGGACCAAGGAGTTCTCCAAGTGGACTCCCGGCATGAGGGTGAAGCAGTTTCACGGGACCAGCAAGACTGAGAGGAGCAGAGATCTGGAGAAGGTTCAGAGGAGAGGCGGGGTCATCATCACCACCTACACCATGCTGATGAACAACTGGCAGCAGATGGCTTCATATCAGGGGCGGGAGTTTGTTTGGGACTACATGATCCTGGACGAGGCCCACAAAATAAAAAACTCTTCCACCAAAACGGCCAAAAGTGCGTACGCCATCCCCTCCAAGAACCGAGTTCTCCTGACGGGAACGCCGGTTCAGAACAACCTGAAGGAGATGTGGACGCTCTTTGACTTCGCCTGCCAGGGAAGTCTCCTGGGAACAGCCAAGACCTTCAAAAGTGAATACGAGAACCCCATCACTCGCGCCCGGGAGAGGGACGCCACCCCTGGAGAAAAAGTCCTCGGCTCTAGAATGTCTGAAAACCTCATGGTTCTGATAAACCCCTACTATCTCCGCAGGACTAAAGCAGAAGTGCAGCAGAAGAGGAAAGAGGAGGGATCAAACATCAAAGATGAACAAGACGCCCGTGAGCGGTCCCACTCTGGAGCAGTGATGCCACAACTGACCCGAAAGAACGACCTGATTGTCTGGACTTACCTGAGCGTCGTTCAGGAGGCCATCTACAGACAGTTCATAGAGCTGGACCACATCAAAGAGCTGCTGATGACCACCAGGTCTCCTCTGGCGGAGTTGACCATTCTGAAGAAGTTGTGTGACCACCCGAGGCTACTGTCTGCCAACGCCGCAGCAAAGCTGGGTCTGGAGGAGAGTCCAGAGGACGAGTTTCAGAGCGACACCACAGACACCAACGACATTTCCAACCTCTCAGACCAAACCTTGATTTCAGAGTCTGGAAAGCTTGTATTCCTGTTGGCGCTTCTGGAGAGGCTGAGAGAGGAAGGCCACCGGACCCTCGTCTTCGCTCATTACAGGAAGGTGCTGGACATCATTGAGCGAATCCTGGGGAACCGAGGCTTCAAAGTCCTGAGGCTGGACGGTACCATCACACAGCTAGCAGAACGAGAGCGACTCATCACCCTCTTCCAGACGAACAGGAAGTACTCTGTCTTCCTCCTCACCACTCAGGTGGGCGGAGTCGGGATCACTCTGACTGCAGCCAACAGGGTGGTCATCTACGATCCCAGCTGGAACCCGGCGACCGACGCCCAGGCTGTGGACAGAGCGTACCGCATCGGGCAGACCGACAACGTGGTCATCTACCGGCTGATCACCTGCGGCACGGTGGAGGAGAAGATCTACAGGCGGCAGGTGTTCAAAGACTCCCTGATCCGACAGAACACTGGGGACAAGAAGAACCCGTTCCGGTACTTCAGCAGGCAGGAGCTGAAGGAGCTCTTCCTGCTGGAGGACCCGCACACTTCGTCCACCCAGCTGCAGCTGCAGGCCCTGCACTCCCGGCACCGGCAGACCGACCCGGGTCTGGACGAGCACATCGCCCACCTCCACGCCATGCACATGTTCGGCATATCGGACCATGACCTCATGTTCTCCCTGGACGTCCACCACGACGACGCCCCCGAGAACCAGGAGGAGCAGCAGTACATCGAGGGGCGGGTCCAGAAGGCCCAGGAGCTGATGAGGGCCGAGTCAGAGCTGCAGGTGGGTCCAAAACACAAACTTAGACTTCTCTCAACTCGTTATTATTAATATTTGTTGATTTATTTAGAGTTTAACAAGGTAAGGTAACCAAAACACTTTACAGTAAAAGTCACATCACAAGAAAATAAAACAAAAATAACATCAAGATAAATAATGTCACTTCTCTACATAGTATTATAAGCCTGTCCTAAAGAAATAAGTCTTGAGTTTAGACTTAAAGATGCCCTGGTGAGAGGTGGAGTTAAGGCCTAGACCAAGGGTGTCAAAGGCTACGTTCACACTGCAGGTCTTAATACTCAGTTCTGATTTTTTGAAAAAATCCGATCTTTTTGTGTGAACGTTCACGTTACATTTTAAATGTGACCTGTATCAGACCCCTGTGTGAACTCTACACAGCACTGATGTGACGCATGCGCAGTAAAAGACGTGACGTCTCATCAGCCGGCTTGTTTGTTTACAGAGCTAGCATGGATGCTACATTTTGCACATCGAATCGGAAGTTGTTTTTTAATCAGAGCAGATTAAATAATTATCTGACCTGCTTCTTTAGTTCAGTGTTTATATCTGAACCTGACTCTGACCGGGATGCTCCAGTGAAG